ACAGACGTAAACGAACGAGGTTGCCACACAAACAAAACGTCTCACATCTGATAAAACTCTTTAGAGTCAGACAAACTCAAATAATGTGCAAATTGCATTAACAAATAGCCAAATGCAGCTTTATAGTCATTGTTTTAGGCCACTGTTAAACGTCATGCATCCTTTGTAAAATATTACTTTAATAAAGGTTACAGCAATAATAGCAGATATATTTGAGAAAGAAGAGTTGCCACTGGGATGAGTGGAGATGCTCCGGAGAGTGAACTTGACCTTTAACCTCCAAAAGCGAAAGTAAAATAGTTTGCAAATGTCATTACATGTTGCCTACATGGACAGATGAGAGGTCCTCCCACACAAACACAATATCTCATACCTGGCAAAACCCTCCAGAGACAGACGAGTTCATCATCCACCTCAGTGCAAATAAAGCGCTACGTTTAGTCTGGGAGGCACCAAGAGGACAAAGTGTGTGCAACAAGAGACACTTTAGAGTTTTATTTAAAAAGCAGATGGCACAGCCGAAATGAAGATGAATTGGACTGAAGCCTGGTGTGAGATGAGAACTAATTAGCCTGGCCATCAGTGGGGCTTGTAGAGCTACAGAGGCCCGCATGAACATACACAAGCCCGGGGCTCCATTAGTCAGCCTAGTCTGGAATAAAACACAGGGACAAGGGCACCAGTGTCCTGCCCTGTAGCCAGATTCCCACATCTCTTCTGATGCCTCAGAGGGCCACGGGAGGGGAGGGCGCCACACTTGATATCCCAGAATGCCCTGTGTCCTTCATTACTTTTTGCTGAGAGACATATGAGGGGAGTTCATGTGAGCTGCGGCAGTCTTTCTTGTGATGGATCGCGTATACACACACATCTTTCTCTCTGTCTATTCGCTCTCTCTTTTCTACACACAATCTAATTTGAGATAAGTCATAAGAGAACACTAGTGGGAGCGAGAGCAGACTTTATCAGTGCTCTGGGTGGGTGTGGGAGGAGATCTAGGAGTAATTGTATTCCTGTATGCTTGCAGGGACTCCTATTAAAGCCAATAACTGTTAATAGGGTTACAGCTTAATTTTTTAAGTGCCTTGATAACGATTATGAAGCAACCTTTGACAAGACAGACAAGTTTGCTTATGTTATGTTGCTGATGCATATTGGAAGAACCACTACTGTACATAACACTGGAAAACTGAAGATCTTATGAAGGTAAAATGGGAACAATCTGAACAGAAAATCATGTGAAAATGTACAGAGGGAAGTTTGATTGAATCTTGCTCCAGGTGGTTTTCCTGTTTCCCACTACACATCAAATGCTGATCCCATTTACTACAGAAAAAAAACGGATTGATGGTTACACTGATACTTGTCACGTCAAAAGGGAAGGTTCAACAGAGCGCAACATTTTTATAACTTTCCAAGAAAAAAACAAAACAGCTAAGTCAACAAACAATAGTGGGGAAGCCTTTTCAGCAAAACGCTTTCAGGGTGTCCGGTTTTAGTGGAAATGTAGCATTCTCTGCACACAGTGCGTTTCTGGATGACACCTCAACACCTGGCGGTAACGACAGCTAAAGCACACGACAGTGATTTTAACCCTGCTGACTTCAGACACTTACATCAACAGTCCAATCACAAAACCACACGAGTTGTAAGCAGCATGTTTGGATGAAATAAAACAGAACTCAACGTGCAAGCAGACAGAAAAATTGATTCATGCTGTAAAAAGGAGACAAACTCCGATATGAAAACTGTAAAAAGATTTACAGTTTACAATACCCCTTTTCTACCAGTAAGATAGAGGTGGTGGTGCTACGGCCCAAATCTGCACATTTACACTTAAGAAAAAGCAGTTTCTGAGTCAAAAACACTGACCCAGGAATGGTTACATTAGTGGGCAGGCTAAACCAAAAGAAGACCGTAAAAATACCTTACAACATTTAGAGAAGCTATCTACACTGGAAGCGGCTGATGAGAAACATCACTGAGGAGACACCATTGGTACATATTATAGAAGCTTTCTACTTTGAGTCTGAAGATATGTCAAGTGAATTTGTAGTACAGAAGCAAATCTTATCTTGATTTAAGATTCTTATCCTATCCTCATCGTATCTGTAGTTATGAAATCTTAAACTGCTCCATTGAGTTTGATAATCAACTCTCAGGTCTGTTACCAAGCAACAAATGACGCGCAAGCAGCTGCTGTGAAGTAAATGCTAGAGATTAAAATGGAGAAACAAAATAGGTGTGCTTTTAATTAATTGCTGCCGAAAGAGAAGTTTTGATAAGGTTGGTAGGAAAGGCAATGCATATCACTATATTTCAGTGTTTTGGCGTCAAAGTGCAGCACACAATTTGGGTGTTCAAAAAGACTTTCTACAATCAAACAGTATACCTAATAAAATAGTTTACCAAATACAAATAAATAAAACATTTCCAGTTAACTAGTATATCATTCATTTAGTTTGCTATTAAATAAGAGATCTCCCGCTAAAATCTGTTTAAAATCAAGCAGTGCGCTCATGTCCGCTGCTATCAGTTGCATGGATGACGCGATGCACGAGTTGCATTAATTTAATTTATCGCCGTTGCAGAGACTCTATTCATTCTATTCATTCACACAAATGTGTGCCTGCTTGATATAGGCTGTAAGCACTGATTAACATAGATTATTCAGTTTTGATGAGAGAAAAAAAAAAAAACTGTAGCCTACGAGTGGATTAGAACCACTGATCTATATAATGAGATGTTCCTGATTCTCCATCGGCCGTCGTATCTGGCCTCTAATAAAAAACTTTTAAGGATAGCCTGCCAGAGCCTGGCCATATTTGAAATGTCTCACTCATTCGTTCATTGTTTAGGTCTATATTACAGCCGTTTTAGGCGTGCGCTTTATTTGAAATGCAACATGCGATATTAATAACTTTCAAATGGTAGAGCCTGTTCCTTTATAACATAGCCAAAGGTCGGTGTATTTTTGCTTTATACATTTTAGGCTTATTCTCAAATTCAGATTGTGTTAGTGAGGCGGGATTATTATGCAATTTTAATCAGACAATTTGACCAGAGAGATTAACTTTTGTCGGGAATTTATTTTTTTCCAGGCCAATGTCCGGTAATTACCGGACAACGGAAACCCTACCAAGGAGTAACACTTGTAAATAAATACTATGATTTAGTATATTTGTTTGTGGGCAGCTTATAAAGTAATAGTCAGTTAAATCATTAAATCGGCTCTCAAGTCAGTGGAAACGCACAGTATCAGCCAGCCGAGCACAAGCACAAATACTGTTTGGCTAGAAAAGGAAAATGTGTAGTTAGAAGCAGTCTGAAGCCTCTTGCCTCTTGGTCATAAGCCACTTGTCGTGTTTATGACCAGCAGCTTAGGAAGCTGGAGAAAAAAAAAATCGTTTCCCTTTTGCAAGGCAATTAAAGAGACCCCGAGAGACTGTTATGAGCCAACTATTGAATATTAATTTCTATAAGAAAGCAAAAATTAAAAAAAAAAAAAAAAATCAATAAAAAGAGTGACATGATTGAGAGAAAACAAAACAGACATTAACCCAAACAGAACACACATTCAAAATGCATGGCAGGTAGATCAGAGTAAGCGTGCAAAATGAATGCAGTTAATGGCGAAGAGAAGAAATGAAAGCAAAGAGTAGAGAGAAATGCTATTCTCTCTCTCTTTTTTTTTTAACTCTGATTTTACCGTGGTTGCAGTCTTTCAGAACAGGTCTTTGTGGACTCGGGTTGAGCAATTGTGTTGGTTCATCTGTGGAAATTAGGACATGGGACAAGACAGAGTGAGTGTCACACTCACACATAAACCCACCTTTTACTCCATAAATTAGATTATACTTTCTATCAGGGTCTAAAATTAACACTCGCCAAGTGCCAAATGCAGGTAAACTGTGTCAATAGCCAGTTGGCTGGTAACATTTTTATGAATTCTAACAAGGCAATGTTGTGAGAACATGAATGTGAACAATTCCCAGGACAGTTGCACTGTGTAGGCATTACAGCCTTGCTAATTTAAATACTCTGTAGGGTCCATGTAAATATATATTTTTTTCTGCTGCTGTTTGTGTTTTTAATTAAACTTTTTAAATTAAAAAAAAATAACAAATTTTAATAATGTGGACCATCAATCCTTCTTCCAAAATGTGTTTTGACTTACACTGATTCACTATGGTAAATAGTAATGGCATAGGTTGTCACAACGAGCAAATAAGGTTGACATGGCGCATGATCGAACCTCCAGGGAATCGCTTTTAAAAAAATTGCAGAAAATAGAGAACGCAACAGAACTCAGAAGTTTCGTTTTAACCGCTAGAGGCACGAAAGTAACAGTGTTGTTTTAAAAGTGACAAAAGTAGTTTTTTTTTAATTAAACAACACAGTTTTACATTTGATTATTTATTCAATGTATCCACATGAAAACTACTGTTACTTGTCTTTGATAATGTTTTAAAATTACGTAAGTTAGGCTAGTAGTTTTAGCAGTGATATCGAAATTGGAACAGAGAATTGTACATTTTTTACTGGCATCTAAAATTTTGGAGTCAAAACTGCCTTTTTAGGCAAAAATAGTTTCATGGCCGGTGAAAAATGTTCAGAACTCTACATTTTCTTAAAAGGATACTCCATTTTTTTTTTTTTTTTTTGAAATAGGCTCATTTTCCCACTCCCCCAGAGTTAAACAGTTGGGTTTTACCGTTTTCAAATCCATTCAGGCGATTTTCCGATATTTAGAAGGACATTTTCTGGTCTCATTGACTTCAATGACAGTCAATGAGAACAGAAACTGTCTGGCTACTGATATTCTTCTAAATATCAGAAAATCGGCTGAATGGATTCGGAAACGGTAAAACTCAACTGTTTAACTCTGGGGGAGTGGGAAAATGAGCCTATTTCCAAAAAAAAAAAAAGTGGAGTATCCCTTTAAGTCACCGGTCAATGGCAGGTGTAGCAAAAAGTTAGTTTTAGGCCCTGCTTCCCAGTAAAAGGAGAGTTATGATATACTTTTCTTTTTTTCTTTTTTTAATGTTGAAATTTCAGCGTTTAACAGGACTTTTTTGATTTGCCAGGTCAGTTTGTTGGACTCTCCTGATACTCTGATTTCTATTGAAAGTGGTCAGCTGCATTAAACTCCACTGGGTCCTGTAATGCCAGAGGAAGTGTGCTGAAAATGGGGGGCTGATTCTGTACTGATTCTATAGAAAAAAAGAAAAAGCTTTTAACACTTAGACTGGAACAGAGCTATCAATTCTGAATTGTGCACTTACAGAACGGGAAACTATAGAAAAGAGTTTGAAACATGTCTGAGAACTGAAGACATTTGGCATATATATAATAATGTTCAAAAGTTTGTTACAAAAGATTTGATTTTCAAATAAATGCTGTTCTTTTGAGCCTTCTATTCATCAAATAATCCTAAAAAAAATATTAGGCAACAACTGTTTTCAACATTGATAATAATTTAGTATGATTTCTGGAGTAATGCTGCTGAAAATTCATCTTTGGCAGAGAAGTTAATAAATAAATTAATTTATTTTTAAATAAAATAAATGCAGCCTTGGTGAGCATAATGGGCGTCTATCAAACACACATCAAAATATCTCACCAAGCCAAACTTTTGAACAGCAAACTCTGAGAGTTTACTGTCAGGCTTGTACTGATATATGCCACCCATTAGCTGCATGTCTGAAGCTGTCTGAAATCAACAAACCTGACCTGAGCCTCTCAGCTAGGTAGGTCGGACACATAACATGAAGAGTGCAGAAGATACACTCTACCTTATCTCACCCCTCACTGCACTGAAAATAGACTCTAGACTCTAACCACTAGATGCTTTAGGCTGCTACACAGAGTAACAACATAAAGAAAAAATACACAGCTATCCCTCCACTCTGCTTTGGGTTTCTGGTCACCATGAAGGGGGTTATTTTGTGAAGATGACCAGCTGACATGAGAAACAAACAGACATGAGAACAAAAAAAGTGCTTTAATGGTTTATCTGTTGGAATTTGACCAATCAGAGTCAGGCATGAATGAATGAATGAATGAATGAATGAATGAATGAATGAATGAAAGAAGGAAGGAAAGAAAGAAAGAAAGACCAATGATGGCAGGATGTGTGTGGAGAGTGAGTAGACTCACCTCGGGGTCTGGGTGCTCTTTTCCTGCGGTCTCTGAAAGCGGCTCCAGACTGCAGCGCCTCCAGCAGACAATCCATCACACCGGTCTCATCGTTCTCTACAGGAGAGAGGAAGAAAGAAGAGAAAACATTAGGATGCGGAGGGGCATTCCATAGCGTCACTTAAACCGGCCTTAAGGGTCTCTGCAGGAATGCTAGAGAGAGAGAGCGAGAGGGAGGGAGGGGAAAAAAAACCTAAAGAGGCCTTCGGTGGATAGTATATCAGAGCGTCGATTCGGACAATTTGAGAGGCAAGACAGGCCCTTAAACTCCTCTATACGTCTCCTCTGCACCTCTACACAAATCCGCTGGTGTTTTGTAGCATTTGGAGGGCCGGTCGTAAAAACAGCTGAGTGGTGCAAGCAGTTAACCTCAGGCCACCGGCTTTCACATAGAGCAACTCCACAGACACAAGGAGGCCTGTGGGACACACGGCAGGCGGGAGGAACGCCACACTGCTCACGGTCACAAACACATCGCACTGCTGCTTACACAAAAACTTTACACACGCACACACATCCACTGACAGAGAATAAATCAGGTTGGCAGGAAAGTGTGCTTTTCAGCAGGTTTGAATAGAAAGGCTTGTATGAGAGAATGCATGTTGTGTGTTGAACCCCTAGATGGGTGAGCGTGGGTAAGCATTACGGGCCTTGACACTGTAACCTCCAAATATTAATCTTTACACTGACACAGAAAGCGCACACGCACACAATACAAAACAAATCAAAAAGCACATGAGCGTGTGTGCTAACGCTGCAGAAGTGCCCACTTCTCCACCGATAAGTTATGACACCCATCATCGGGGCTGTTCAGAATTAAACCAGTACCGTTTACCTATAACCTGTCATGACATCATTGCATGAGGGTTACAGTAGTTACACGCCAGTCTACAATATAGTACATTTATCCTTCTGGTTATATACATTTACTACACGTTATCTAAATTTATATATAGTATAAATTAAATAATTATAATGAATACAAAACAAATAAGGGTAGATTGCAATAAAATGATTTGATAATATTACGGACAACAAAACACATGAATGAAGAGTCTTGGATTAGCCTCAGTGAAGTCATCAGCCACTCTCTTTATACACTGAATTTCACCGAATAGAAAAAATCTTCACCTATTCTATCTGAATTTCTGCATTTTCTTAAAATATAACATGAAAAATCAAACACACAATTACAGGGGCTTTATAAAAGGGTCTATCTGAAGCGTATTTGGGACTGCAGCACTGCTCTCTCTAAAAAGCCAGTCAGAGTCAGCCAAATACAGTATGGGGTATAATAAGGCCATTTTCAATCAGCAGCAATTGTGAACGTACAGTAAGTGAGTGAGTGATGGAGAGAGAGAGAGAGAGAGAGAGAGAGAATTGAGTGAAAGAGGAGAAGGTTATTTTGTACCGAGTGCTGTCAGTAGTTCAGAAGGGGCAGTTGACCACAATGAAAACTATCAGTGAAGAGAAAGCACAGAACTGTTGACCTTTACTAGCAAGCTTCAATTAGACAGAAAGAGAGTAAGTCTGTGATAAAGTGTGTGTGTGTGATAGACCAACCACTTATCACCACACTCTCCAACGAAAATACTTGCTAAATTTAATCCATTATATTTTCATAATGAATTAAAAATCCTACTTTAGAAATTATGATTTTCCCCCCCAAAGAACTTCATTTATATTTAAAATTGTTTGCTAGCAAATATGCTTAAAATAAATGTTTTTACACAAAATACATAATGCAGTGATGATGATGATGATAATAATTTGATGAGCAGAAATGACAGCTAAATCTTTTCCCTAAAATACATACTTTTCTACCATCATTTCATCCGTTCTTCCAGACAGATTTGCTCCAGGTTGTTAAAGGGATACTCCACTTTTTTTGGGAAATAGGCTTATTTTACAACTCCATCAGGGTTAAACATTTGAGTTTTACCGTTTTCGAATCCATCCAGTCGATTTTCTGATATTTAAAAGAATATCAGTAATGAGACAGTTTCTGGTCTCATTGGCTTCCATCCTACTATGGAAGTCAATGAGACCAGAAACGGTCTCATTACTGATATTCTTTTAAATATCAGAAAATCGGCTGGATGGATTTGAAAACGGTCAAACTCAACTGTTTAACTCTGGGGGAGTTGTAAAATGAGCCTATTTCCAAAAAAAAGTGGAGTATCCCTTTAAAGTTAGTCAGATGACACCTGAACAACCTGAACCCTTCAAATAGTGCAAACAATTCTCAATTTCCAAGACCTTATAGGACATTGTATGCTTTTAAATATTCATCTGGGCTTGCACCTAGGATCATTTTTGTAAAATATTTCGCAAGATTTTTTTTTTAGTCCATGGTTCACAAACCATATATGAGGGTGGGTGAAGCTGATTGCCCGATAAACAGCAATATTTTTGTGTATATGTAAATTCATTTTGCACACACACACACACACACACAAATAAACATCCGCTGACAGTAGTCAGTGTCTAAGTGAGTGAGTGAGCGAATGAGTTCTGATTTTTTTTTTTTTTACCACCAGGCCAAGAGCGAGTGCCTGGCACTGAACCTGACCACGAGAAAATGAGCCGTGAATGTCAATCAATTATCTCAGTGTTCCAACACCATCTTCTTCACCCACAGGACCCAGAACAGCAGCAGCTGTCACGGCAACACTTCAGAAACCAGCACTCTCAGACAGATAGACAGACAGACAGGTGCTAATGGACAGGTGTGAAAAGACATAAAGGTGCACCACTAGCAGGGAACTACACTACAGAACACAATATAAGTGAATAAGAGAGTTGGGGGGGGGGGGGGGGCAATAGAGGACTGCTTAAGGCAGAGAGAGGATAAATGTCTAGTAACATGCAACTGAGTGGAGGCTTGAGGAAAGAGATGCAATCATAGAAAAGCAGATGAATGTCCGACTGCATTTGTGCATGTGGGTGTGTATGTGAGACACTCTTTGCTACACCGACATGCACAACTACTGTTCAATCAGACCTTACTATTTACATGCAGCCTTAATCGACACAATTTACAAGGAAGGGTCATGCTTAGAATATTTACTGCTTTCTGAGAAGAGAGAGAGGGAGCCAAGGGAAATGAGAGACTGTGACGATTGACATTAGTCTGCACAGTTTTCCAGGTGGCACGTTTCTTATTTCTTTTGAAAGATAGGCCCAAAAAGCCAGGTTGCAGGAAGAATGAATGGATAGACGGACAGCGAGAGGGTGTGATTAAAGAGAAATGGAGAAAGAGAGAGCGCGAACCCGAAAGAGTGATAAGTGCTAGGAGGTAGCCTGCTGGGTCTCTGATGGAGGAGAGAGGGATGGAGGGTGGCTTTAATAAAGAGCTGAGTGAAGAAGAGAGAGGAGGTGTGAGAGGGAAGGAAATGGTGTGATTTAGCCAGGAACGGAAAAGGCATTTGGCTTGATTGCTGTTGCCTCTCTTTTAGTTCTCCCTATTTTTTATAAATACAAGAGAGAGTGAATAAAAGCACTCACACTGAAGAGAACGACAGAAAGAGAGAGAGGGTGATTGCTCTTCAAATAAAACCCATACATCTAAATGTTCCATAAATCAATTAAAAAAATCTTCAAGTAATGGACTGTATAAATCAAAGCATTTTATGATTTTTCCTTAAAAAACAAACATATATATATGAAGAGTTCAGATGCAAAAGCCTCTAAATGCCATTTGAAATTTTCTTCTTTAATGATGATTTTTATCAAGCTTGTATATTTAAGTTCAGTGATTTCACTTAAATGGCAATGAAGATTACCTATTAATTGTTATTTAAGTGAAATTACTGAACTTAAATATACAAGTTTGACAAAAATCATCATTAAAGAAGAGAATTTCAAATGGCATTTAGAGGCTTTTGCATCTGAACTCTTATATATATAATATATATATTATATAACTGAATAAATGGTCCATGGTTTAATACACAATTTTGTAATCTATCTAATCTATCAAAACAATTTACCCTTTTGCAATGTGGAATTTATCTTTCAGTTCAAAGATTTTCTTGAAAGGGGGGCCATGAGAGACAGTAAAGATAAACATATAACTTTTTTATCATTTTGTCAAGTATCCCAATTGCTTTCAGCTTTCCTTCAACCTAAAAACCTATGAGTCTAACCTATGAGTCTAATAAACCTAATTAGTCTGTCAAAGAGGTCATTCAAGCCCATTTCTAATCCGTCGAAATCGCGGCACCAATGACGACAGCACAGCGACGGTGAAGCAGATTTTGTACATTTAAAAAGATGGATGCCGCAGTTGAACACAATAATTAGAACTCCATAACCGCCAAAACCATGTTATTAAAGTACATTGTAGGTGGTGCTTCGGAGGCTGCTACTGCTGGAGCTGATTCAGGAGAGGTCTGTTTTGTTTACTGTGTGTGACTTAATTAATGTAAAGCACATTCACAGCTAGTTGTCTAGCTGTTAATTTGAAATAAACGTAGAGCAAGTAGCTAATCAGTGTCTGCTTGTTTATTCAAATCCAAGTTGTTCTATAACAGACGAAAGTCGCTTGCATACATCATCTCCTTCATCGCTCCGATTGGATTTAGGTCTATCCAATTGCGCACAGAGGCATTTGAGCTACGTCCATTGGTGACGCCCCTTTTGGAAATGATTTGTCTATGAAGCTTTGCCAGACCATAACTCAGTTACAACTGAGAATGGTCTGGTTTTAACCAGGCTAATGAAACTACCCTTCTGTACAACCGTCTGCTGCAAGGCCTTAGATGTATTTGCTTTTAATCGCCATGACAGCACAACTTACGCAAACATGCTATTAGTGGCGTAGCATACATTTTAAAGGAGAAGCTATACTTCAGTCCAGCTGAGATTTATGAGACATTCATTACAGATCACAGAACCGAGTGATTTCACTGATCTGATATCAAACAACAGCATGCAAAGGGGCTGGACAGGTGTCTGCACAGGTTGAGCGATAATGGCGGAACAGCACAATTATTCCTGACGTATCTACAGCCGCTCACAGTTCATGTCCGTTCTCTCTCGTATTTGTCTGAAGA